CAGCAGGAAGCTGCACCTTCAGCTCCCAAACCCTTGGGCTCTGGCACATGCACCATCCTCTCCTTCTGCTATGACTGTGGAGTTCCCGCCTGCCCCAGCCCGCTCCTGGGTAGGGCCTTCTGGCTCTGCTCAAGTTGACTGCCTCTGTCTGAGCCTGCTTGCGCCAGGGTGGGGGTGGAGGATTGCATTATATGAGCAGGGTTTTGGCAGGCTGACCTGGGCTTGCTGCTCCATGGGTGGAGGAACAGGCCTGGCTTCGTTGTCAATCCTGTCGTGTGAATCCTGGCTTTGCCACTTTTCTGCTAAGAGGCATTGGGTAACTTTCCTAACCACTCTGAGCCTCAGTTTCCTCCTCTATAAAAGTGATGCCTGCTGGCACTGAGCATAAGGGCTGTCATGAAGCTTGAAAGGATTATGGGTGCAGTTTCTTCATCTGCAAAGTGGGGATCTAAGCCTGGAGTCTGGCCCGTGGTGAGCTTCTGGGTGCATCTCCTACCTGCCTGCTTTTGGGGGCAGTATTGGTCAGATGGCTAATGCCCTCTGGCTAAGGTGTGGGTCCCACTGCTGAGAGCAAGAGGAGAATATTTGGCTTAATGTGCTGTGGGCTCTGAAAGAAAAAAAGTCTTGGAATGGAGTGGATCCTTTTGGAGGATCAACTTCTGTTTTTATAGGACTTTATAGTGTTTACACCCATAATCCTTTCAAGCTTCATGACAGCCCTTATGCTCAGTGCCAGCAGGCATCGCTTTTATAGAGGAGGAAACTGAGGCTCAGAGAAATGCGGGAGTGAAGCTAACATTTATTGCATAATTTTTAATAAAAACTGATATTTATTGAGCGCTGTGTGCCAGCGCTGTTACAAACATATTACCTGTATTAGCTCATTCAGCTGTCATGATAACTCTATTGAAATAGGAAATACTGTTAATTCTGTATAACAGATGAGAAAAAAAAAGGCACAGAAAGGTTAAGTGAGTTATTCAATGTCACACAGCCAGGGAGTGGAGGAACCTGACTCTTGCTCTTGTGCTCTGGTTGGAATCTCTTCCAGGAGGAGGGGACTCCTTGGAATGTTTCCCAAGGCCTTGCCCTATGAGAAGGGGCTTGGCTGCTTTGGAGAGGGTCTCTTGGCCTGGCGAAGTCCTGCAGCCCCTCCTGACTATGTCACCTAGACACCCACTAAAGATCTTGCTTGGAGGTGGGGTGGGGTCAGGAGGAGGAGTCCTGGAGCTCTGAGTCACCTCCCGCTGCCACCCTGAGGTGAATGTGGCTGGGGAAGGTGGAGGCCCCCACCCCATCACTTAGTATAGTTAGTCCCTGTTTACAGGCCCATGGGGCAAGTCTGAGCAGTGCCGGGTGGATGCAGGCACCAGCACCAGGCTGGGCGGGAGGTGGGGAGAGTCATGTGGGTGGGGATAGAGAGACAGTTATTAGACACCTTTCATTTGGGATTGGCAAACAGCCTTGCCTGGCAGAAATTGCTAGAAAATGAAATATGGGGGCCCGTTCCAAAGATGGGGAGGGGTGGCAGAGAGGATAAATAAAGGGATACGGTGTGTGCTTCTAGGAGCCACGTCCCTTGTGAGATGGGGACCCCCCAGCCCCAGGGTAAATCTGAAGGAAGGTAAAGAAGAGGCAAGGGCAGGGAAGCTGTGGGGAGATTTTCCAGCACCGGAGAGGTGGGTGTTCAGAAGAGGACCCCCAGCTGCCTTCCGACAGATTTATTCTGCCCTGGAGGATGGGAAACTAGCTCCACGGAAGAGGGAAAGGCGGGGACAGGGACGTTGGCGCCCAGAAGCCGGGCTTTGAGGCCGGACCTAACGCTCACTAGCTGCGTGACACGGGCTATCACTTCCCCTGCCTGAGCCCCAGTTTTCTCATCCGTAAAATGAGGTTACTGTTATTTCCTTCACAGGGTAGATGCTAGGATCATGCATTACAAAAATCTATCCGTATCTGTTAGGGGAGGGGTTAACATAGGATCGCCAATGCTTAATTTTTAATTTTTCCAGGTTAGGAAAGAGAAACAGTGAACATCCCCTAACACCACAATTATAGAATGTCTTCCCTTCAACACCCCAAAAGTTGGAAGGATGAGAGTGCGAAGGGAGGGGCACCCTCCACATGGGATACATGTGGCCGGATAAAAACTCCCCGCAGTGCCCAGAACTAGTTACACTGCCATGGGCCCCGGGAGAGCTTGCACGGTCACCGGTGGCCGTGGTGTGAGGAGAGGGTTTTGGGAGGCTGAGATGTGCAGCTCAGCACAGTGACACGCAGGTGCTCGCCATTCTTAGTGAGCGAAGAGAAGAACTTTGTAGTGGGGGGCTGACCTGGCTGGCCCAAATCAGGCGGTAGTAAGTTCCCAAGCATCACAAGTATCAGAGTGGATGGAGGTTAGGGGAGAATTGTTTTTTTTTTTTATCCCATCAGAAGGGGCAAGGGGCAGAGCTAGGCGGCTTCTTCAGGATCCTCTGACCACTGCTGCCTACCCATATTGTTTTTTTTTTTTTTATCCCATCAGAAGGGGCAGGGGCAGAGCTAGGCGGTTTCTTCAGGATCCTCTGACCACTGCCGCCTACCCTGGTGCCAGTGTTAGGTGGACACATCCTCATGATGACAGGTGGTGCCCAGGGCATCTGAGAACACAGACTACCGCCCATAGATCCCTTGGAGGAAGAACCCAATTGTCAACATTCTCACCCCACACATTTGGACGCTCCCTGAGAATGGTCATGCCCCAGCTGGCCTTTGTGTGGAATCCCTGCCCTGGGGCGTGAACATTAAAGCCCTAGGCTTGCTCCTGCCCATGGTAATTTGGCTCAAGCCACCTTCCCTGCAGAGGCATGCCCAGGACTGGCCTTAAGAAGCAGAAAGACTTTTAAGGGCTGGAGGCAGTTCTTTTAACAGGCCTGGCCAGCACTGCTTGGTGGTATGAGCAGAAGGCGGGCCAGGAGCCTGGCGCCAGAGGCCCTGGGTGCTGGGCTCACTTTTACCCCAGAGCCTAAACCTACCCTGGGGCTGGTCCTAAACACAACCCCAGCGTTTAATAAAACAACCACCGTTTATAATGACTCACAGTGGGCCAGGATTTGTGATAAACACCCAACAAGTGTTATTCCTTTTAATCCCTTTGAGGTAAGAACTCATTTAGATTTCACAGATGAGGAATCTGAGACACGAAGAAGTGAAGTAAACAGCTTGCATAAGGTTTGCCCAACTCCAATGATTAGGCTAGGCTGGCTCCTCACTCAGGTCCATTAACCTCAGTTTTTTCTTCTGATGCCCTGGGCACCACCTGTCATTCTCAGATGCCCTGGGCACCACCTGTCATTCTGTAAAATGGGGATAAGACGGTCATCTCAAGGGGGTGGACCGAGAGGATTAAAGGTTCCACTGTGAAGTGCTCAGCACAGTGCCTGGGTATAATAACCACTCAGTAAGTAGAAGTTCTCATGGATCTTATTTCTAATCCTAACCACACTCCCTGACCCATGCTGTTTGAACTCTTGGATGCCTCAGTTTTTCAGTCTGTCTAGTGGGGCTGCTGCCCCTTGACCCTCATCCTCAGAGTATATTTAAAATTCTTTGTTTGGGAAACTGAAGCCAGAGGTAGGGATTTCTAGATTCCTTAAGGTTTCAGCAGTATACTGGACTTGGCTTGTACCAGCCTGTGAGAGCCAATTGTTTAATTTTCAGGATTTTGTCCCATTTGTTGCTAAACTCTGCTATTATGAAAAGTTAAATTATATAAACTTACAATGAAATAACATATTAAAACTCAACGTAATAAATACTCAAAAGTCATCACATCCCAGTGATTTTACTACATTTTACTATTATCCACGATCTGAGGTTATTTACATCTGTTGTATTGGTGTAAATACTATATAATGGCCTGCTACAGTGTATTTCTTTCCAAAGCCACATTCAGTGACATGTTGGTAGCTTGAAATTGACCATAGTGGGAGAATTTACACTGTGGAAAGTGGCAGACGCTTCAAATCAGGGCTCTCTCCCACCCCACCAGAGAGCCAGTTGTTACACATTTATAGGCACACCCAGGCTTAAACACAACAGGGCTACCACCCCGAATAGGCTGAATTCTGTGTCTCTCCAACTCCACTACCTTTAGCTTGGGCCTCCCCAGACAGATACTCTCCTAAAAAGGGGCAGGGGTCCAGATAGCAATCCTACAAAAATTTCAAGGGGCTCAGGTTAGGACCTAAGGAGAGACACCAAAGAACAGCAAGTTTCGGGGACCTCACATGTATTTGTACACATGGCAGTGTACAAAATACACACACACACACACACACACATAGCTTATTTAAATTCTCTGAAAAATCACATAAAATAATAAAATAGGTATCTACCACTTTGCAAACTCAGGAACCGAATGGAAGTAGATAGTTAGGGAAATCTGTATTTATCTCTTTTACATAGCAAAGAAAAAAGAAGTTAAGTAACTTGTTTAGGCTGCAGAGCACCTCCCAACAGGACATTGTCCCACGCTCCTCTGATTTGATAGAAAAGTCCTTTTTCCTGAAGGTCCCCTCCCAGCTCTGTGCCCCAGGTCCTTACCCAAGGCTTCAGGCTCCTCTTTCTTCCTCCTTGAGGTAGTGCTCTGGGTGGGCTCAGCCCCTGCGGGGAGCAGCTGGAAGGTGGGGTCCAGTTCCAGAATCATCTGGTTGAGGCTCTCCAGTGAGAAGTCAATGTAGGAGTCAAGGTCCTGCAGGGCCCCTGAGGCCTGCTCACCAGGGGACTGTAGGAGGCAGCTGGCTTTGGGTCCAGCTTGTGGGGCCTGCTGGAGCCTGTTGGGGGGCTCTTTGTAGGGCATGGAGGCCATCAAAGCTTGAGCTCCCCAGCCTTCTGTGGTGTAGTAAGGGCACTGGGGTGGCAGACTGGGGCTGGGTGCTGGGTGCAGGGCCCTCCTGGGTTCCTCACAGGAAGCCAAGCGGACTGCATGGCCTCCTGCCAGTAGGGGGCTGGACATCACCTGTGACATGATGCGGGCAGTGACCTGGAGGTTTACCTCTGGCTTCCAACCAGACTCACTTATATCCCAGAGATGTCACTTGCCAATCAGGAGCTCCCAGGACCTGAAAGAGGCCAGGGGTGGGAACTGAGTAACTTTTGTAGATGAAGCCACTGCCTTCTCTCCCCCAAAACAAAGGCATATTTATTCATTCATTTAAAAGCATGGATGCTGGAGCCAGACTGCCTGGGTTTGCACCCTGGCTCCTTCGCTTACTAGCTCTATGATGTCGGGCAAGTTAATTAATTCTCTGTCTTTCAGTTTCCTTATCTATAAAATGAATTAATATGTGTAACATGCTTAGAACAGTGCTTGGCACACACTAAGCATTATGCAAATGATTGTTAAACAAAATAACTTCAATAGAAGTTTATCGAATATTTACTATGTTCCAATCTTATTTATTAAATAAATGCTAGCTAATATTTATAGAGTAATTACCATACACATAAGCACTGATATTTACACATAAACTCTTTTAAAATCCTCAAAACAACCTTATGAGGTAGATACTATTATTATTCCATTTTACAGCATGAAAATGGAGACAAAGAGGTAAGTAACTTGCCCAAGGGCAAATGGCCAACAACCATCAGAGCAAGACAGGACCTCAGGCTGCCTGATGTCAGGCCCCTTGTGCTTAGCTGCTACTGCATGTGGGCCAGTTGGTGAAACACAAAGTGATCGAGTGAACGATCATAATAGGTGTCACCAAGGAAGAGGAAAAACAGAGGGGACTCTCAGGCACTGTTTGTTTAGGCACAGGTGGGGAGGTCAGGAAGAACTTCCTGGAGGAAGGGACATGGAGAGGGAGACAGGAAGGAAAAGCAGGAGCTAGCTGGGCAAGGCAGATAAGGGTGAGGAGGCAGGTGTGCTCAGAGGCTTGTCAAACAGGGGAAATCAAGAAGCATTATTGAGCATCTGTGAAACAGAGAACACCTAGAGTGGACGGGGTGGGGTGGGGTGGGGTGTAGAAAGATGGGGTGGGGTGGGCCTTATCGATGTAGAGTCTTATCGGCTGGGCTCAGTAGTGCTGTCTCCACCTTGAGGGCAAGGGGAGCCACACAACAAAGATTTGAGCTGGAGAGTGACATCATCAGATAATTTTCACTCCTTGGGGGCTCATCTGGAAAAGAGATGTCTCAACTTCCTCATTTCCCTTACTACGAAAATTTCTTCCTGTTGTCTAACCTTAATGCCACAGGCAGGACGGGGTAGGAGGTAAAACGTTCTGGGACTGAGGCTGCCAAGAAAACTGGAAGGAGCTGGGACATGCTGGTCGCATGATCACTGCCTGCCCTGAGCTTCACTGCTTGTCCCCCAACACTCCCCATCTCTGCTCCTCCCTTTTTCCAAGAGACCTCTATCACGTCCTGCTTTAGAGTCAGACTCCCCAATGCTGGAAAAGGCATCGAGACCGGCCTGGGGCAAATGAAATGAATGCAGACTCTGGAGTCTGAAGGTTCAGATTCGATTCCCAGCTCAAACAGGGCCTTAAGGTGTAGCTCAGACCCTTAGTTTTCCCATCTGTGACGTGGGAATAAGAATTCCTGCCCTGCAATCTCCCAGAAAGTGACGTGGAACCAATGAGGTTTATGCTTGTGAAAGCAGGTGGACAATTCTAAATAGTACTTAGGAATAAGGGTTTATACAGAGTATAACACCTTCATAAGAATAAATAATAATAGCTCCCATTTACGGAGCATCCACCATGTGCCAGGCACTGATCTATGTCTGTTACATTTGGTAACTCCGCTCTCACAATCCTATGAAGTACCGCACCCTTAGTACCAACCCATTTGGCAGATGAAGATACTGAGACTCAGAGGTTAAGAAATCTGCATGGGCTGCACAGCCAGAAAAGTGGTATAGATGAGATTCACACCCAGGCTTTGGCATCTTGGACTCTTAACTCCTTGTACCACATTGAGTTTAAATGCAGAGGAACACGAGGTCCAGAGAGGCAATATGATTTGCGGAGGGTTGCAGGGTAAGTTAATGAGAAAAGCCAGGCCCCTCTTCTCTCCCTCAGCTCCTGCAGGCCCCTGCCAGACTTCTCGTTGGCAGGGTCCTGGAGGGGGCGGTACATCTTAGGCTCTTGAAGTGGGTCCATAAATGGCAGTGGAAGGGAACGGGCCTTCCAGCTCCTTCCTGGGGGCAGCCGAGGACATGGAGCTGCGGCTTTTTCCTCACATGCTGGGAGCAGCCTGGGTGTGCTGGGGCAGGATTTTGGCGCACCCTGTGTGGTTTTCGACTGAGCCCTGCAGAGGAGACTGGCCTCACTGACGTTAAGGAGCACCAACTGGGGACGCCTGGGTCTCCCTCCAGGACCAGAACCCAAGCTGCTTGCTTACTGATTTAGAAACTGCCTTTGTGCCATCCTGGGCATGTGTCCTTTCTTCTCTGGGCCTCAGGTGTCCCATCCGTATCATGGGGATATGATAATAACAGACACTTAACACTTGCTCATTTAATTTTCTCAGTAGTTCTGGGAGGAGGGTACTCTTACTCGGGGCTAGAGCAGTGGAGGGATTTGCCCGAGGTCATACAAGCCATGAACCCAGTCAGTGCTGAGGTTGGGACTTGAACCCAGGTGGTTGTGGCTGCACAGTCCCTCACCCTGTGCCTCTGCTTCATAGATTTAGGACCCCATTCACCTC